ATTTGTATTAATGGCATGTAAAACTTTTGTAATAAACTGACACATTTATTAAATGCTTACTTTGACTATAAAAAAGTGCAACTCCACCAATTAAATAATTTTGTTTCATTGTTAACTTTAACTGGAATTTCACTTAGCTGGCTTAACCCCGGTCCCATTTAGGGCAGTTATGAGGGAGCCTGCTTATTGTATATTGTAATGTATTGTAAAACTTCTTTACAAGTACACCCATTTTACAAAAGTTTGCTTTTAAAAAAAGACTTAGATAAGTATGTTTCCAGTAAGTTAATGAAATATAATGTGGTTTTTGCTTTTATAAAAAAGGGCCAAAAATATACCAGGCATTTAGTATTTAAAACAACCTCTATGTTTAGGCAAGATATATTGAAACTTTGGGCACCTACATGACAGAAATATACAAAAAGATTTATAGTCAGCACATTTCAAGACTTCCAAAACCAGTTACTACAAACAATAAATTTTGACCTACAATATCACAACAAACAGGTTGAATTGAATTAGTTTAGTTATTTATTATACTTATGTCTATTTCTTGCACATGCTTATCTGAGCACTGAATAAATAAAGGCTTATCAGACTTATCCAAGTCCTGAATAAATAAATCCCCACATATGCTTAAGGCTTATTGAGGGCTAGTGCTAAATATCTTACCACCTGATGCAGTCTTTGTGGGTCCTAAATTCTGCTACAAAGTGCCTCCCTTCCCTAAATTCTGCCGCCCGGTGCGGCCATATGAGCCCTGGCACTGGTTCTGGGTTTTTGTGAATAACAAATCAGTAATTCTTAATTCAAATAGCACTTAATTCAATCTTTATGGCCTATGAGCATTATTAAAAAAAATCTAGTTTTAGCATATGGAAAGAGATTTTTGTTAAATTTTGCCTTGTCAACATTTCTTAGCGCATTTAACTTAAATCCGGAATCTTCACCAAGTGTAATGTCAACATAAAAAGCTACCATACCTTCATTATTCAATTACTAACATAAAAAAAAATGGTTTAGGCATCACTACATGAGTCATTACTCAAGCTGTCATGTGTTCATAAACATGTGGTGATGAAAGCAAAATATAATAAATAATGATTCACCAGATTGGCGTCAGGGATATAAAGTATTATTAGGTGTAAAATCAATGATGTATCTATAAAGAATGTTTCGGTTTGAGATGTATGTCAAGCAGATATGCATCTATGGGACAAAATATTGATAATACAAATTTATGTTAAAATGATTGTTTCTTTAATAATGAGGTACTGCCGAAGTGAAATTAAGAATTGGATTCCCCAGATGTTTTATTATGCGCAGAGTGGGGAATCAAATGCGCATGTGTAAAGCACACAAAAATTTTTTTTAAAAAAGTTGTTGGTGGCTTTGGGGTTTGGATTTTTAGATCACTTCAGATATTGGAAGACTGGATCTTAGGCTTTGTACTGTACTAATTTACACACACAACAGCAGCCGGTACAAGTTTAGCTATGCCTTCCCTCAACTTCTTTTTTACAAATCAAAACCATTATTTTATTCTTTCCCAAGCTTGTTATTCTCTTTGTTTGCATAATATTTGGTCTTTTGTTCACAGATTAAGAGAAATGAGAACTGATGTAACAAAACTAATATTGATTAAGAATTATCTTCGAATCTGAATTCTGCAACTTCCTCAAAAATTGATAATGTAACATGTTTTGAATGAATACTGATTTTGCAATTGCCCCAAAAATCTGTGCATCTCATATTTTTTTTTTGGGGGGGGGCAATCTGAGTAAATTTTTGCCTGGATTCCAAAGTCCATCATGTACTTCATATGTATAGTTATAACTTGGGCCCCAGCAGTTGAGCCAAACTTTGTTGTTCAGTTTGTAATCAGAAGTTGTAGAGAAAGTATCTTGTGTTATTTTTGCTGCTCATTTATGGCTTTAGGCATTTTATGTTATTTTCATATAATAACTTGGTATAATCACCATGGGTCCTAAAATGCAGAGTGAAAAAAAATAAGAGTATGACAGGAAACACTGCTAAAGCTGCAGTTAAAAACATCTTATCACTTAGCATGAAAGCAGCATGTGTGGCTGATCTTGCTACTACATTTGGATTCCTAAATCAAATTTCTGTATGCTTTTGGAAGAAAAAAAGCTATCAAATCAGCTGATGTGACAAAAGGGATTACGACAGAGATACCTTAAGACTCAAAAATGTAGAAATGCCTCCTAATTTGGATTAATGAAAAACAATAGGCTGCAGATGTTATGTTTGTATTGATAACTTTTCAGAAAGCCAGCATCATATGATGATTTTGTACCAGACATACTTGATACAGTTGCTCAAAAGAAATCTAAAAGTAGTAAAAGATGTCTTGATAATTAATCCAGTTTCTATGACTTCAAAGAGGGAAAATTGTCTTGGAGCTTGAACAGGGCTCGGGAATAGATTAAGTTCAGATCCAAAGGTGTCCTGAAGTGAATATTCTTTGTTTATTACTGAAGAACCTAAACTTTACATATAAACCGTACTGGCAATACTCGCAAACTGGTAAAATTAAGGAACAATCAAAGAACCAAATTTAAAAAAACTGGGCAGCTTGCCCTAAACTCGTTCTCCGAGAAAGATTCTCTGGCCTCGCCAGCAAGGTCACCTCGACCTTTATTCTGAATAGATTCAACATAATAGCCAGAATAAAATATGACATAATTAAAAATATTGTCTTAACAATTTTGTGAATCGAGATTTTCCATCTTTCTAAAACACTGAATCACTTATTATTCATTTAAATTAATCAATTTTACATAATTTTAACATAAATTCACTGTCGTGAAATCCATTATTGCTTATTAGATGATCTTTCTAACCAAATTACATAAGTTATCACAAATATGCAATTCAATTTAGTTACAATTTTAGAAATTTACTACATAATCTACTTCAAAATATTCATATCCAATTAGATTATTTACAATTTTTATAATTCCTAACCTGGATTTTTCGTTCATAAATAAATAATTTATATTTTTTGAGATATTTTTAAAACATTCTTCTCTAATAAAAACTGTCTGTATGCACTCGCACAAATAGTGTATAAAGTCTGCATTTTGTGCTTCACAACCACACTTACATTTTACTTTCTTTCTGTGAAGTCTCTTTAAATAATATTCTGGACTTTGTCCATAACCTGTCAGTGCTTGATTTATTCTTTTGTCACTACAGAGCCTTGCTGTCTTAACTTTAGGAAAAATACGAAACAATTTTCTTCCATTATCCAATCAAGCCTGCTATTTTTCATTATTTCTTTTTGCAATAACGTTTTTAAAAGGCAAAGTTATCTGTCTCTGCAAATTGATTCAATATTGTCAGAAGAGAGGCTGTAACATTCCATAGGAATTTAAAATGTGTTCATGCAGACAAAAATATCAGTCACACAAATCTGATGAGTATTATTTGGTAAACAGATTTATATGCTATGAATGTTTTTAATATTAAACATGACGATGATAATCTCAAAGAAGATACATCACTTTCTATAGTTGATGCATTATGTGTTTTAGGTTAAATTCTATGTAAAAAATCAAAAGAAAAACAAACTTAAGTGATTTTTTTTTTCAAATAACGATTTTAAACAGTTTTCAATCTTACTCAAATACTTATGCATGATACCTACACACAATTTAAAAACAATAACAAAAAAAATACGTATATAATTTTTAAAAAGAACCCTCTATTTAAATTGTGATTATAGATAGTTATTAAATTCAATTATAATATGAATGCCTAAAATTATAAATTAAATGTAAATATTTATTTTCATATATTTGTTTTTTCCCTCCACATTACAGAATAATTTGTAATCATATTAACCCTCTGAGCGGCCAGGGTTTTCACTAAGAAAGCACAAATTTCCCAAAACTACTATGAGAAAAAATTACTTTTTGATTTTAATGTAAAAACTCTCCTGGTATTTCATACATGGATTTGTTTTCTTTTGATATATTGCCTTAATTTCTTTGACATATTTTAATATGCACGTATATATACGTTCTTACAGATATCACAAAAAATATTCTAAGCCATATATATATACGGCCTTGCCGCTTAGAGGGTTAAAAGTCCCTCCCTGTACATTTATTTGTTCATACTGAATACAGGATCATTATTGCCATGTCTTAGAGCATGACCTTATGAAATTCAACTTAATTTGCTAAACACAAGTGCTTGCATTTTATTAATGACCAGAAAAAGGCCTGTGATTTAGCCATCAAAAGTGATCAGTAATTTGGATAAATCCAGAAATTAAAACTTAAAATACACAAAGAAAAAATTCCTTGAGAGTTTCTATACTTAAGAGATGTGCAATAAATAAAACAAACTTAATTATATGTTTGCTTTATTTTCCCATGGAAAATGAAATCTTTATTTAAAAACTCTTGAAAATACAAACTTCTAAAAAGGTTCACAGAACACAGTTAAAAGCTCTGGAAATGAAGTTTCAAAATTTTGCATCACAGCAGCCATGTTATAAAAGTAAATTCTTTAAGTAATAATTTGTTCAGTAAAAAAGAAAACTATGGTTTAACTGCATGAAAAATTGATTTCAGAAAGACAACTTCATTAAGAAGGAAAGAAAATGATTTAAGCAGACAGAGGCTCTAACTATTAAATCAAGAAATTTAGAGATATAAGGAAAGAGAAATGTAAAATGAAAACTATAAAACTGAAATAAATTCATAACAAAATCATATAACACAGTAAAATGAAAGTAAAATGAAACTATGACAAATGAATCAAACTGAAATTTTTAAAATAAATGCAAAAGGCTAAATATACCACATTAAAAAAATACAAAATTAAATGATACAAAATTTCTTCAAAATAATCAGATTTTTAACTATAGATAAAACTAAGGTTGATGAAACTTATTATTTAAAATATAGGTTTCTAGAATTTCTTTTATTAAACACTTTTCTTAAATAGATAATTTGAATTTTTCTCACCAACAGTACAGTTTACAATATCAATGCATCCCTTTTGAAGACTTCCTAGGGGCATAGCCTCACCAGACTAGATAAAGAAACATTTATGAATTAATGACACCTTAATAAACTAATGCATTTTAAAGAGTTGTACATATAGATCCAGTTTAAATTTTTAAATAAAACTGAATGGAATAAATGGTAAGTAAGTGATGATATTTAACAGTCTTTGTAACATAGAAATTCCATAAGATGCTAAGACTATAAATTATTTTGTGGGAAACACAACACTGAGATTATTAGATAAATTAATACATACATGCATGCATATATACATATATATTTTTTAATTTCCAATCCCCCCCCAAACAGAAATAGTTGAAAGTTTTGTAACCTTAGGCATTCAAAAGTTTGAGCTCTTACTAGAAAAGAAATATTTACTAAATATATACATCTCCCATTTATAGTTCTTTCAGTCAGAATGATGAGTTTGAATTTAAGAGAATTATTGTTACCAATATTTACAAAAATGTAAGAAATGAACAGTAACAATGACACAAATTAATCTCATTTTTGTTACAAAACAAAACTGAAGCGCATATGACAAAATTTTGAAAGGTGTAACCTTCTTAAGAACAGCTGAAAAAAAAATTCAATAATTTCCAACCCCTTACAATTTAAATTATTAACTGTAATATTTCAGAGCCATAAGCACCACTGTCTGAACTAAGCTCTCTGAATTTTTTTTCCCTTAAGGAAAGTGTGGATTTTTTTTTTTTTTTTTTTCTTTCTAGTGCACAACCTCACTAGTTATGATACCTCACACATAAGTTAGATAAAGTTTAACACAAAAATAGACTTTGAAATTAAAAAGTAGATAAAACTCAGAAAATTAATTCTACGGAGAAACAAAACATGACATTAAAACGCATATTTAAACACGAAGAAATTCTTTTAAAGCCAAATTAAGAAATAAAACCAAATCAGTTTTAGGAACTGAAATAAATTAGAAACCACCAATTTCATGATTAAATAGCCAAGAGGTAAGTCACAGCCTCTAAAATATTTCAATCCAATCTGCTAAATATGGACATTCAAATAAAAAATAATGCACCAATAATGCCACATCACAGTAATTGTAAGTGATTTGAGAATGACCAATTCTAAGATGAGTTAATATTGCTTCCTCCTTCCGATTTCTAGTGGCTTCCTAATACTCATGCTTCTCGACTTATTGAGAAACTGACCATTCAAGAATAATTGCAATTTAACCCAGATTCTCTGCCTGATGACCATTCCTGCATCTCCATATGTGACAAGCCAATATGATAATTCCTCAGCATATTTTGCTGTTATGTCTGCCAGTTCATTTCCTATTATCCTTATTTGTCAAGGAAACAAGCAGTTAAGAATCTTTTACCCATGACTTCAAATTGATACTCCGACATTCATCAATTAATATATTCTGAGCATCTAAAAAAATTCTAGAGCTTTCAGCATAGTAAACGAGTCAGTATAAATAATAAACATTGCCATCACTTAGAATCTCCAAGGAAAGAATCTGATCCAATTTCAAGCCTTCCTTTTTTAAATAGGTTATAAATATGTAGCGATTTTACGAACCTTTTAACACTCGCAAATTTGAAAGAGTTGGAATTCTTGAAACTAGTGCAACGGAGCTCTTTTTGGCTAGTGGTAAAGAATTCTGCTCGTAACAAACCGACCCAGGTTCGGGTCCCTGTCATGCAATGCAGCACCTCTTACCGGCACCAATAGATAGTGACACGTGCAAGCAACAACTGATGCTTCACTAAAACACAATGGTCACTACATTGGTGACCAGGAGAACTACAGAGTTCTCCCTCCACTGAGGATACAATAACGAACTACATCATACACTCCACCCCAGTACCTAACGGCATCACATAGCCAACAAAAACGGGGTTTCCTGCATATCACATCATAGATGCTTGGGCAAGGAGTGTGTAGCGATCTCGAGAACATCTCAATGCTCGCAAGTTTGAAAGAGTTGGAATTTTTGAAACTAGTGCAATCGAGCTCTTTTGGGCTAGCAGTAAAGAATTCTATTTGCAAGAAACTGAACCAGGTTCAGGTCCTGGTCATGCGATGCAGCACTTCTTACTGACGTCAATAAATGATGACACGAGCAACCAACTACCAAAGCTTCATTGAGACATGTGATCGCTACAAATACATTATGTTAGAATGTATGTATAGAAATTGACCCTCCTCAAAAACAAGAAAAGAAAATTAATCCACTGCATTCATTCATTTTTGCCTGTATCTCATAGACTGTGACTGTTATTAATATGAAATATTTTTTCAGCATTTAAATGCCTCTGAAGACCTTCAATGGCCACACATTAAGCATGAAAATAAACTAAAAACATAAAATTTAAGTGTAATCTGAAAATTTGATGCAGAAGCAGTAAAAATTTCATTTTCATGGTATGGCACATATAAAATAGCATTTCTTAACAATTATGGTACTTTTATGTTACATTTTCTTCTTCATATTCAGCTTGTAAATAATACAATTAATACATTATTCTTCTCAGTAAACTATTCAATAGAAGTAATGACATAACACATAACAACAAATTCTAACTTTTAAAAATAAAATAACACTTGAACTGCCATGTTGTTATGGGAAAAACATATGCCAATATGAATTAAGTCAATTTCCTTAATACTTGAACTACCCATGTATAAACTAAATTTACAGTGAAACTTATAATGAAGATTTATGCAAAGGGTAGAAACAAAATTCTTTTAAGAAGTCAAATATATGAGATAAGCAGAAAACATCAAATGTCCAAATTCATTATATACCAAAACCACATAGCACTACTGCACCTTCAGCAAATGATTTAATACTTACATTATTTTGAAATGTTTTTCAGTTGAATATGAAATATGTATTACACTTGCCCATTTTGTGTAAAAAGCATATTTCCTGGAAAATATGCTTAAATTTCCTAAAAATGATCTTGAATAGGTGAATCAGAGTGGGATAAATTTCAGGCTACATTTGATGGCAACATTTATGTTTTGGTTATAAGTGCTGCTTAATAAACGAAAAAATGCCAGAATTTTTAACTTTTATGATCACCAGAACGAAATATGGTACTTTTTCATCAAATAAGAATGGCAGGTTGTCAATATGGTTCTTATTTTCATGCAAATTACATGGAAATGATGAATTTAGAACAAAAAGCTGTGTAAATAAGCAGGAAGTAATGATTCTAAATAATTCAAGAGATTAGATTTGACCCTATTGGGTTATGGCAAAGCAGAGGAGAGCAATCTGTCTATAATTTGGGACTACTCAAACTAGATCATCATAAAGTTTTAAAAAAATTTTTTCAGAATATGTGTGTTTGAAAAATGTTAAAAAACACTTTTTATATGATTTTTATTCTTTTCCATCTGCAAAAATAATTACACTATACTTAATATATGTATCCCTGAAAAGATCAGAAAGGAATTATAAATTTCTATTTTTACTTTCTTCCATTTTTTTTAGTTTAATGAATTTTCTATTTACAACCTGAAATCTTTGGATTTTTAAAATCTGCACAACCTCAGGTCTGGAAGTGTGTGAATTTTTGGTCTTCTACTGTACATAACCGAGTCAAGTTTCTGTGAAAGCAAATATATTTAAAGATTACATATAACAGAACTCTTGACATAGATAAATACCATCAAACGCTTGTATTATTATTCTTGTTTGGAAAAACTATAATGTGGTTGCAAAATGCTTGTCTATATACTTGAGTCGTATGCTAAACAAAAATTATGTGTTAATTTGTAGGTAACACATAACCTTATCTAATCAAACTTTACTTATCTTATCTAGTTTTATTTAGTGTTTAAAAATGCTTTAACACCACGAAAGAAAAAATATTCATCTAATTTTCCTTCAGAAATTATCTGGATATGCTTTTCAATTTACCATTATGATCCAGAAAAACCTTTTGAATAGTAAATTAATCAAGAAAATTAATACAAATAAAACAATATTTAAAAACTGCATAAAAAGAACACATGGAAGAACTTATAGCATTATAGAAATAATACATATTTCACAAGGAATCACAATGAAATAATAGAAAATCTTAACAGATACAAAACCAAACACTATCCAGCTTATTAAGTTATTCTGCACAACATGTCTATTAAAAGTCTTTGCCCAGCCTTTATTTTGGAATCATTTGATCATAGAAATATACTTCTCATTACAAAAATGTTTTAGATAATAATTTTTTAAAAAAAAGATTCACATTTTGCCATCTTTAAAGAAATCACTTTTGTAAAATTCACAAAATCTAACTTTTCATACATTTCTCTGGTTCTGATACTTCATTCAGAAAAAATTTTATATTTATTATATAAAACACAATACAAAATGTTTGACACCCATATAGTAAAAATTCGCTGAGCTATTTAATTCCAAACACTGCAACATTTTCAGTTTGCATTAAGGAGAGGTTAATAAAGAAATCAAAATAATTTGAGGTTAATTGCCCCCCAATGCCATTCAAAGATATTCTTTTGTGAATTACTAATGTCTTTATAATTTTGTTTCATATGGTCACACACGTAATTCATAAGTTTTTAGTCTAAAAATAAATTGTTGATATTTTCATGAGGTTTTATTACTTAAGAATCATTAGCCGGTATTCATACAAAAAAATCCATGAACTACAAACATTTTTCATGCTTAATTAATAGAGATAATATTATAAGTTCATTACATGGTAACACTGAAGCCTGCCACTGTTTTCCAGAATATGAATTCTATAAGAATGCAAGAATAAGATCTTCATTTGAAAAAATTCATACTGATCAATACCTTTCACAATAATCTGTATATAAACACTTATCACTTGATCTCGTATCATCAGAAACTTTTTTCTGAACTGATATTTTATTGTTGGTTATGTAGAAATGTAAACATTTCACCCTTCAATTTGTGTACGTTCAATATGAATTTGGATTTTAATTTCAAATATCTCTTCTTGTATATATTTTCATTTTATATTTTATGAGTATAAAATTTTCCTTAATATAAGCATACAGACCAAAGGAACATATAAAAAGTTAAGACTTCATAATTTTCACAAACTTGATTTCTTTAAAGGGGGGGGAGCCAAAACATGAATATTTGCATTATTTAAAGCACTTCTGTAACTGGAAATATATGTCTATAAGCAATGATTGTGAAAATAAAAGCTGATTAAAAACTTTTGCGGATATTTTTGTGTATATACTTCTACATTTAAACTATAAAATATTTTTAAACACACATTGAGCAAGATGCTGGAAGCAGAAATTACAAACTCTTGCAGAAAAAACTAAGATTCATGAAATAAATCACACATGCCAACTTAAAAGAAGTTATATAATTTAATCCATAATTATGAAATAACCAATTTTCTTTACACTCTTTTATCAAAACTAACTGGTAGATCAAAATTCCTTTAAAAAGGTTTCTTACATAACTTCATACACTGTAATATAATTAATAGTAGTGTGCATTATACTACTGATCTCGCTTGCGAAGTAAATAAGCAATTCACTTTTCCAAAGTTCCTACACAATAATTTAAAAAATATAAAGAATTTCAAAAATTTTAAAAATCCATATTTAGTGAAATGAAAAATGTAGAGTAAACACTTCACTATCCAGAAAGCTTGAGAAATGTTTCATTCCAGATGTGTGAAAATTGCAGATAGTTCAGCATATAAGAAACGGAATTTCCGAACCCCTAATGAATTTGAACAATTTTTGCTCTAAAATTACAAAATCTTATTTGTTACCAACTTGAATATCAAAAGCCTACTTTAAAATTATACTAGATTTTGTGAAAAAAAAAATGAATTTCAGATATAAAAGCTGATCTTTTTCATAGGCCTTAAGCATGAAAGTGAAACGTTTGATCTGATTATGAAATTCCACTGAACATGAAAATTGGCAGAGATGTTGCCTATCATTCTGGCAGAAGTTTTAAATAATAGATCACCTTTTATTTAGATTGATAACAAAGAGAAACAAATTACGGACATAGTGCATTTAAAACTTAAATCACTGTTCATAATTTTTCATGTTACATCATTATTTCTTACCCATTCTCAAAGGGTTATTATGGTTTTATTTATGTTGTAGAGACATTACGATTTTTTTTGAAGCCGGCGAGATGAAAAATTAGCAATCGCCTTCGCCGGGAATCGAACCACGGACCTCTGGAATACCGGCCCAGCTTGAAGAACCACTACAACATGATGGCACACCAAAAAAGTGGGAGAAATACCTTATACACTCCTCCTTTTTAAAGGGTGACTGGAGTTTTTAGGGGACCCCAGTCGCCAAATCCTGGGTGTGGAGAGTCATCATCCACAACCCTTTTAGTTCGGGCGCCACTGTAGACCCAGTCGCCAAATTCTGGGTGTGGAGAGTCATCATCCACAACCCTTTTAGTTCGGACGCCACTGTAGAGACATTAGGATTTTTTTGGAAGCCGGAGAGATGAAAAATTAGCAATTGCCTTCGCCGGGAATCAAACCACAGACCTCTGGAATACTGGCCCAGCGTGCAGAACCACTACAGCACGAAGGCATGCGAAGAAGGCGGAAGAAATACATTACAATGTATTTACTTTTTTTTAATGATTGGTTCCTGTAACTTCGAAAATACTCCGCTTCCTACTGTCCAAATTATTCATATTTTTTTTAATGTGAAGGGAAAATAGAAATTATATTCTTCTTTACAAAAATTAAAGTGGCTTATCAAGAATTAATCAGGTTTATATTAAACCAAAATTAATTTCTTATGACTAAGTTGTGACATCATGGTATTACTGGCACTAAACCACAGTGTTTGCTGACAATATATAGTGCTGATAGTATTATGAGCTCTATAAATCTCTCATTTACTAAATTTTTCTAAAATTTTAAAATATTCTGGTTACTTGAATGCTGGATTGCCAGGCACTTACTGTATGTACAATATATTGTAGATACAGCAAGTGCATTGTATAATAAGTATATAAGGTATTTCTCCTGCCTTCTTCGCATGTCTTCATGGTGTGGTGGTCTACACGCTCAGCACGTAATTAAGAGGTCCGTGGTTCGATTCACGGCAATGGTTCCAAAAAAATCTTAATGTCTCTACAGTGACACCTGAACTAAAAAGGGTGGTGGATGATGATTCTCCACCCAGGATTTGACGATTGGGTCCCTTAAAAACCCCAGTCACTCTTTAAAAGGGGAAGTATATATGGCATTTCTCCCGCCTTCATCGTGTGGTGGTCTGCACGCTCAGCGCATAATTGAGAGGTCCGCGGTTCGATTCCCGGTGAAGGCATTGCTAATTTTTCATCTTGTCTGCTTAAAAAAAAAAAAAAATAATAACTAATGTCTCTACAAGTACACTGTGCAAAAAAAAAAAAAAAAAAAAAAAAAAAGGTTCAGTTCTATATCTCTCGTTCTACTGGGCTGATTGACAAAATTGAAACTGCTTTTCTCATGTCTCGAAAGCATGACTTAGGATATATATTAGATTTATACATAGAATTGTTCTAACATAGGTATTTTGACATAAAATCTGACTTTTACTGAAATAACATACCAATTTTTTTTTCATATATCGATTCTACGACTCAAATTACGCCTAGATATTAAATTTTGTAAAATTTGGTGCAAAATTTACGGAGAAATTCAAAAATTTATCTTGGCGGAATTTTTACAGTTTGTGCCACAAATTATTCACTTGGCAAACTTCTTAATATATGGCAACCAATTTTCCCATCCCTTCCACTAGAGAAAAAAGCAGAAAAAAAGGCACCTTGTTCCTACCTTTTTACATTATGCATGAGCGGGGAAAAAGTTACTTCATTCTTACTTTCAAAAATTTCAGCAAAGTGTCTAAACCACATTTGATGTTTTATCGCTTTCAACAAATATGCCAAATTTCAAAATGCGCCAATATATAAATTCGCATATATATCTAGAAATTTTGATTAAAAAACTGTAATCTTTTTCAGGTATGCTTAGAAATACATCTACTTTAAGATGATGGTAAAAATTTATAAAAATTATTTTAAAATGCAAATTTTTAAAATAAATCATAAAAAAATGGGTGAATTTTACTTAGAATGAACCTGAATTTCGAAATGTGTAAGGAAGAATCAAATAAGTTTAATTAAAAAAAAGAGAGATTAATAAATATATGCCAAACTCAATTAACATTGAGGAGCTAAAATTTTGAGAGCCAATTTTTTAAAAACTATTCGTGCGATTTTTACAAAACTTGGTAGTTTGGCATAATTTGAGTCATACAATTGAAATATGGAAAAAAATTGCTATGTTATTTCAGAAAAAGTCCGATTTTGTGTCAAAATACCTGTATTAGAACAATGCTATATATAAATCTATTATATATCCTAAGTCACGCTTTCAAGACATGAAAAATGCAATCTGAATTTTGCGAATTGTCCCAGTAAACAAGATATATAGAACTGCCCCCCCTTTTTTTGCACAGTGTACATTGTATAATAATAATAAAACCTTGTATCAGTCTATTAAAAATTCTGTAATGCAAATAACATTAACAATTAACTAAACTTACATTTTCATCACTGTTTTCTTGTGGTTCAATCTCTTTAACGTAATTTGACGGCAGCCAGTGTTGCTTTTTCCCTCCATAGTCACCTTTCCACCAGCCACCGATTTCTTTCACAACATTTGTAATGATGGCGTGTTTACAGAAAGACAATTCGTCTTCCCGTTGTGCACGATAATCATACAAAGCTTTTACTGTTATCTAAAAAGAATAATTTATTTACTATTACATATTTAACAATACATACATTTTAATAAAATGAACTGGTATAACAGCACCATTTAAATTAATACACGAATTTACTGTTAAAAATGTTTACTTACTATTAAGTAGTAGTACTTACATGGTATAATTCCCGATCTAATTCTTAAAAAAACAGTACTTAATATGCTTACTATTTAAGTAACACACAGTTTAAATCTTGAAATAAACTTTTGCAATGTAGCTTATATGCTCATCAACATTTAAAACATCAATACAGAATTTTAAAAGAATTTGTTAAAATCCTAAATTAGACTACAAATGGTTATCTCTTCTACAACACAAAGCAAAAGTTAAAGTTTCCATTCCTTGAAACAAATAAATCTTAACTGTTAGCTTTACTTTATCCTTTAATCAAATGGCTGAATTGCTAATCTGTTTTTAAGCACTTCTATTTATTTTAAGTTACAAAGTTTCTTGAGAAAAAGTCTGCTATGACAATACCTACCTCATTGCATTTCTTACACTTGCATTTATTTCACAACCATCACCCTATTTACAAACTTAAATATCATCAACTTCTATTTTTTCCCCAGATTCTGAAGGCACAGCAAATCAACTGTTAAACAAAGTTTATGTGTATAAAGAGCATAGAGTGAATGACTGAAAAGGAAACATGTACACAATAGTAATCATAGCATGAAGTCTGAATAACATTCTATAATTTGGTTATGGATAAGCATACTTGCGTTATCACCCTATAAGAGGGTATGTTTTAGTGAAAGAATATTTAAGGGAATTGATCATATGAGAATAACCACAAAAGCATACTTCAGCAAACCCATTCAATTGTCAGGAATAAGGCTTGAAGGATGTATGACTGTTTGTGTATTTAACAAATCAGCCATAGATCAGAAGTAACATAACCTGAGATAAGTGAAGAGGATAAGTAAAAATTAAGTCATCATTCAGATGCATAACTTGATAACAAATGAGTTTTGTTGAAAACTTATATGTAAATGGTCTGCACAAGAGGTGCTTCCTACCATTCAATATCCAGTTGCAAAATATAACTCATTTTCCTTGACAAAGAGGAACACATTTTATTAAGCTCATTTAAGAAAAATTTTCAAATTCCTACATTTAACTTTAAAAATGAGGCTTCACTGAATCATTAGTTACGCTATAACCTTAAAAAAAGTGACGAATAGCCTTTTGAGCACTCAGCTGCAGTTTCCAATGAAGGAAATTTTTACAGAATTAAAATTTAATGAAAAGAAAATTAAAATTTAACTCAAGTTTTCTCCTTCATAGAAGCAGAGATAAGAAAAAGAACGTGCTATAGAATGCCAAAAACAAGACCACTAACATGCTCTGACTGTTCAACAGCCTAATATTATGCAGGTAATACATGGTATGATGAAGTTTGGTGAATGTGTTCCCAAATAAAATTCTTCCATAAATCACGAAAAACATTTGATTTTCTTTTAAAATGTTCATCATATGCAAAGCACTTTTGATATCGACTGCCAGGAAACTGCAGTCAAAGTCCTGTTTTGGTACTGTATGACGAACTCTTGTCTAGGGCCAGATTAAAACTTTCAGAGGCCTTAAGCAGCAGAGCCCCTGTATACACTTACATCAATTCCTCCTTTCTCAGTCTTGGTTTAGCTGCACCGTACATTCCATGGCAAAATGGGCAATGGCAAATGCAGGTTTTTATAGTGTCCCCTTTCTTGAATCCCTAAGCACTTGTCTGTGTTGCCTCCTTTCCTCGATGGCCTTAAGCATGATCTTATTTTACTTAATGGTTCACACAGCTCTGCTCTTGTCACATACCTCTGGATGTCTGGAATGTTCCAGATTAATTCTCTTTAAGGAATTATTTCCAGTGCAAGAACAGAAAGAAGTTTACTCACACAATCCCCTCTGTCTTAAAAAGATGGAGATGTCTTAAAAATCTTATGAGGTTGATGTGAGGGTTTCTTCCAATGAAATCTGTTAAGATAACATTTGTAGAGCTAAATTAAAATTCACATTTCTGACTAAAAGCAGGACAGCAGGTTAAAATGTGATTGACTAAAACGGGAATGTTGCTAGTGCCACAAATAGGCTCATTATCTCCTTTCGAGAAATACTGATGTGTCAGTCTGCAATGAATGACCAATTCGTAGGCGAGTCAGTAGTACATCCTACTTCCGATTCCCTTGCGACTCCAAGTACCCCAAATTGGGTTTTACCTGCTTTAATTTGTTCAGAGTTTGGCATTCCCAGAATTCTTGCCACCTGGACAAGATCTTTGCTCTGATGTAATGTTCAGTATTGAATTCAGATATAGCTTCAACTGTGGTTATAAATGTATTCTGATCTGGAGGCAGCAGGGAACATGGAACTTGCCATCTCTTGATCATAAAAGATCTGTTAACCAAAGAAGTGGATTCATGGTTTGGGGTAGAATCATCAAAAAATGACTGCATTAAATGGTATATTTTTTATGGATATTCTGTAACCAGTCACAAGTATATATATGGATGACAACTTGGAATCCCAAGTAAGGATGGATGCTAAGAATGCTGGTGGTCCAGACTTTTGTTAATGGACAAATTGCTTGTTCATATCAAGTATCTGTGCTGTCAGAAAACTAAAAAACAAAATATTTGACTCTAATAAATCGGCTAGTTTACTCACCAGATTTGAAGAGAATTAAGCATGGGTTGGAAGCCCTAGGCTGCCAAACTGCATTGCACCAAATGCCTGCTCAGATCTTCAGGGTATAAAAAGTGCATTTTCAGAAGAGTGGCATGTAATTCCATGAGACCTTGGTTAACAATTTAGTTAATTTTATGAAATGAGGAAATGAGATGTGCTTTAATGTCAGAGATGACTATATACTTCATAAAAGGCAGATTTGAAGAAAACAAAGGACATCACTTTTCCATCATTTTAAATTTCATAAATTTGATTTAAAATTCAATACTTTGAAATTAATCTACTGGAAACAGAATAATTTATGTTAAATGATGTTTTGTACAAACTACTTTATCATATTTCTAAAAGTAACAATGTTTCGTCTGTATCAGTTTTGAAGAGCACAGTAATAAATAAATATACATACAATCAAAAGAATTATGAGACACTGTGAGTTCAGTATGGTGTTGCCAAACTGTTGACCATAAAATTTATTATTTTGTAACAGATGATGCAGCAAATATGGCAAATGTTAGCGAAGAATGCTTCATTATTAGCTAATCGTTAAAAAAGAACAAATGATACTAAGCATGCTATTCAAATCATAAAATATTTCCAAATATCCAATTTTCCCAGGCAATATTTAATGAATACAATGGAACTGGTTTAAATATACTTTGTGAAATACATTGGAACAGTACATAGCTCCCTTTAAAGCTATATAATGAACAATCCAATTTTTATTTAAATTATGAAAGAGAACCGAAACATAATAAAAAAGAATTTTCAATCAAAATCTCTTAACATGATAGTCAAACAAAATATAGATAGATCTCTTACTTTGCTTGAAGTTTCAGTCACTCTGGAGAAAATTCAGAAAAATAATTGCAGCATTGCTGAAGCCATTAAAGTTTGGTAAGATCTCAAAAGATCTTTATAAAATAACACACACACACAAAAAAAAAAAAAAAAAATTAAACTAAGATATGAAAAAGCACTATCAAACATATTTTTAGCATGTATTTTATCATTAAAATATAAAGCTGAAGCTTTACTAGTACGTAAAATGCTGCGGGCATTATTCAAATGAGTAAAAGAAAAATATGCAGACACTTGGTTTGTTCAGCATTACATTAAAATTTATAATTTGTTTCACCTTTCTGTAAAAACCTTTTTGAAAACGAAGCAGCTGAGTCAGTGGCAACACTTCCGTGATGGAAATCAGAAAATCTTGTGAAAGAATACCAAAAGGAAAAGAACTGGATGTCATTGAAATATTAAGCGCAACAACAGCTTCATCAGCAGGAACTGGAAGAACGTTTTGTACTTATGAAATTGTACACAAAAACTAAAAAATGATTAAAGGTATGAAAAGGCAGGAAAACTTGTTTTTTTATTTAAAACATTGAATGCAAATGGCAGTAATAAAGACACACTATGCTAAAATGTTTTGATATAATGCAGATTGCAGATATAATCTTATTCCTATAATTACATGTGCACTGACAGTTTATTAGTATTTCTATAAAAAATGCAACTAAAAATAGTTTCTTGTGTGTGTGAGCACATAATAATATACATGTGTCGGTAAGTTTATATTTAATACATTAAACTGACTTCACAACTTACTAATGCCAAAAACCTGTCAAACTAGGTTATCGTCTTTATGCTAGTAATTAATAAAATTGCAATTTATATTACATGTGATTATTAATTATCATATCAATTTACATTTAAAAATATGCTTTTTAATATCATTCAATTACAGTTTTATACTTGCCAACCTTCATCATTAAAAAGTCAGGAGATTTTTCTCAGCGGCAAAAAGATATTTTAAATGATAAAAATACATTTTTAATAATGAATTAACTTTAAATAGTTACTAATTAATGTCTAAAAATTCAGTTCTAATTAATTGCAAACAGTACAAAAATACTTACATGTCAAAAACATTTTTATAATTTGCATCTTCTAACCAAAAAATACTTTAATCAGTTTTCATACAAATGCTATGAACAGTGACAGATTTTGCTTTCATTAAGGAAAGAAACTTTATAATTTTGCTCATAGAACTTGCAATGTAGACTTGCCTTTGCTAATAAAAGCTTTTCTGATGTGCCATTACTAATACTAGATCTAAATTTAGTCCTTGTTTTTGCAGCAACACTGAAAACTCCTCTCACACTCTGCATTACTATGAGAAATTGTCAGGATCACCAACATTATTCTAGACAGATCAGTATACTGAAATTCCATCAGCACCTTTCGGTTTTCTAATTAAACTATACTGGGTGTCAATCCTAGATAGTTTT